GCCGGCCCTTGCTATTAATATTCAGCTCCCATCCCCAGCTGGTGACCGACTGTTCCCGCCATACCCTGCTCCCCAGTGGCATCAAGACCCTGCCCTACACCTGGCTTTGGGGTGAGTCACCTCGGGCAGGGCTTCCCCTCCCTGCTGACTAACCCCAGCCCCAAGGAGATGTCACATTGGGGTGATGCACACTGCAGGGGTGGAGAATACTCAGGGTGAGTGGGGACGTTCATCCTGATACCCTGAAAAATGGCTCCAGGATGGGCAGAGGGTAGGGGTCTGACCTCATGCGTAGCTCCAGGGACTGAGGATGGGTGTCGGAGAGGACAGTGGCAGACCAGACCGGGAGCTCATTGCTGCTGATGAGGAAGAAGAGGAAGACCTCCATGTGAGGCTGGCAGACCCCATCCAGCCATCCATTCCTGTCTCTGCCACCGCACACTCATCCACCGCCATCTCCCTCTTGCAGGAGGAAGGCACAGGGCAGCGGGCAAGGAGCTCCATGGGATGCCGACGTATAGGACTCGGCACCCCTGGGGTGCTGGGGCCATCTGGAGAATCAAGTACCACCAAACCTGGGTGGTGGAGGAGCTGGAAGGGGACAGCGTCCACATTGCCTCCCCAGGGATGGAGATGGGGAGGAGGAACGCAGAGCGCCCCATCCCTGCTTTCTGGGGCAGCACAGGAGGGACAGACACTACGTCTATCCGCCCCATCCCCTGAGAGCTAGAGATTCCCTTTATTTAGAAGCAGTTCCCCACTCCCCGCAACCCTGTTTCTGCCGGCGGAGAAGCAAGGCACACATCCCAGCCAGCAGCACCACCACACAGGCAGGCAGAGTGATGCTTTCTGCTTTTATTTAATTAATGCAGCAATCTATACAAGAAAAAAAAATAATAATGAAACCATGAAATTTCAAACTCTGACCGTGAAGAACCAAATTCTTCCTAAGAATCAACCAGAATTAAAGGATTTCCCCCACGTCAGACTGTACATAAAATAATCTCTGCCCCATTTACAGCGTTTCACACAGTACTTCTCGTATCTCAAACTTCAGAACTGTACAACTTTGTTACAAACCACGCTTTTTCCTAGGAAAAGCTTACGAAAAAAAATATTGCCACTTTCTTTTTTATTTTTTTTAATTTTTATTCATAACAAAACAAAAAAAAAAGAGAGAATCTTTTAAAAAACAAAATTAAAGTCAGCCAGAACTTCTAAGTGTGGGCAAGGTTGCGGGAAGGAGCAGAGACACGCTTCTTGGCCAAACATTTCTCCTCCCAACCAGGAAAGGGAACACTTTTAGCAGATAAAAGACTATTTGCTGCTGGCAGGGGCCTGGACCCCAGCCCCCATGAGCCCTCCTCAAAGAATGGCAGCTGTTTTCACCCGTGGTAGCAGCAAACGCTAGGTACTAACAGCGCTGAAAGCTAACGGTCCGAGCTCTCACCCTGGCAGAACCTGGCTCATGCCGGTGCCGGCTCACCCCGGAGAGCGGGGCAGCAGCCATGTGCCCCAGCAACCCCCCAGATCTCCGGGATGAGCCGAGCCTCAGGATTGGCAGCTCCCGAGCATCCCAGCTCTTGCTTAACAGCTGGATGAGAGTTCAGCAGATGTGGAGCCAGATGTGGCAACCCAAACTCCACTGCTGCAGGCAGCCTGCCTACCAAGCCCTGCCGAGTTCGATCTCTGAGTCTTCTTGAGATACGGGTAACAGTAACCAGCCCAATTCCTCATGCTCTTTGCAGAAAAGTGGGGACAAACCCCACCAAAACAGGGACAACGCCACCTTCCTGCCCCTTCCTTAGGAAAGACGGTTCTCATGGTCTGGGCTGTGGGTCTGGGCGCGTGGGAGCGTCACACTGGACGTAGCCTTATTCCCAGTTTTGGGCTGAGCAGGTTACACAAAGGACACGCTGCGGGTGGATGGGGAGGAGGTCGGAGCACACAACTGGACCAGACAAACACGACAAAGCCGATGGGGTCAGGTCTGTGCGTGAGCCTGTCCAGGGAGCAGATGGGGAGAAGTTCTGCCTCAGAATTGGAGCTCACCACCCTCTGCAGCAGACCCACGCCACTGACCTGACCTGAAGCCTGTAGACAGCCCAACACAGCTGGCGACAGAGAACGGGTACGGACATCATCAGCACTTCTGAGCCACGGTTTTACCAGACAGGTTACAGTAAGGGCTCTAGACATCTGGATCTGCGCGAAAATGTGTCTTCTGGTTTCAAATCAAGGATTCACTTTGATGTTGTTCAGTGCAAAAGAGTTAAAAAACCACGTTATCTACACATATACATCCACATGTATAGAAAATACCTGTACAAGTGGGGAAGATGGCCTGCCTACACACTGGGGACTCCTCGCCCAAGAGATGCTACAGGTCAGACTGGCTGCGTCCCATTCTCTCCAAGATGTCAAGCCCGCACCAGTCAGGTTGAAAACCAAGCGCACACAAAAACAGACGGCGGCTGGAGAGCGGCTCTGGCGAGGAGCTCCTCCTGTTCCCCCAGCCACGGCTGCCAGCTCAGACCCACCGCACAGATGCAGGGCACTGGGGAAGGAAGGAGGGGAGAGCTCCCGACCACAGCATGCAGGAATACCGAAACAAACCAGGAGAGGATGGACACCTGCACACATACAGACTGCACAAGGACCGGGAGGAGGTGATGGTTGGTAACGGGCTAGAGGTAAGATCTCAGGACGCTTTGCTCAGCCTTCAGTAGAGAGAAAGCCACTGTCCCACAGGAGTCCTGCTCTGGGAAGCAGCCCCACAAAGGCAGGTTGCCTCCAGGTTCATTTTGAGCTGAGACAGCAGGATACCCATACTGCACAGGTAGGAGTAAAACTGGGAGCTGGTGGGGAGAGCAGGCTGTGCAGAGCCAAGACCTCCAGCAGCAACCACTGCTACAGTCAGCGGCACTCGCAGCAGAGCCTGACACTGAGGAGGGCGCGGGGCACGGCCAGGATGAATCCAGAGAGACAATTAGAAACCACCACTGCCAGGCATCCTGCTAGCGGGTCCCTGGCTTGCTGGAGTTGTTTATACCAGCTGTAAGGAGGAGAAGGGATCACTGGTCCCTCCATGCAGTTTTGCTGTCAGGGGAACGCCAAGCTTTCCAAAACAGGGGGTTTGTAGCCAAGAGCCAGCCCAGATTCTTTGCAGAAAGCTGGGAGGGTGAAGAACACCGCTTCAAACGCTGTGTGGTCTGAAAATGGCTTTTTAAAGGTTTCAGAAGCAGCAGAAGCATGAATTTTCTGATCTCTGTGCAGACAAGACAGGTTCCTTCGCAGGCTGGCCACAAGGCTGTGCCCATACCTCCGCATCATCCCAACGGGGCTCTGACCAGTCAAGCAACTGGATAAAGAGAACCAGAGACAGGCACTGGGGGTCTCACCTATGAACCACCCACAGATCAGTGGTGCTGAAGGTGACGACAATTTCCTTTGCACTAATGTGACTGCGAGATCCAGCCTGAGCAGTAACCCCAACTATGGGCAAAGGGCAGGAACTGCAGAAGTCAGCGGTGAAGGAAAAGGACCCCAAGACCCAGATGTCAGCAAACGTGCTCGATCACTAAGGAACGGCGCTCGCGCTTCAGGGAACGACGCCTCGGTTTTTGGGTTTTTTTTGACTGGGAGCCCCTCAAGACAGCAGCAAACTGGTTTCAAAATATATTACATCTTTTTATTGCCAAGCGTGCAGATCATGAAGTATGTGGGGACACAACACTAAGAAAAACTACAATTTGAGGGAGGGCAAAGCAGTAAAAATTTAAAAATAAGACTACTCCTTACAACTGCCAAAACTTGGGTTCAAAAGAATCAATTGGAGGAAGTTTCTTAAAAGTACAATTCTAAATATGGTGTTGGGCCCCAAACTTTGAAAATGCTGAGGCTTCGGTCTGGGCTAACGCAAACCGGGTGGGGGAAGAAGAGGAAGAAGGCAAACTTTCTAACGCAAAACGCCAAATTCCTGACTCTTCTCAGTATTTTCTGTAACAACCAGAGAACTCCCAATCCCAGGAATACAGGCAGGAATAAGCCAGGAGGAGGTGGGCAGCCGCTGCAGTGTTAGCTGCTGAATGTACTGAACTGGGGCCACCAAACCAGACCCTTGCAGTGTCCCTGCTCCCAGAGCCAGCCTCGGAGGGGACAGACCACAGCCAAGCTGCCCGGCTCCACCGAGGCCACAGTGCCTGCTCCTGCTCCGACAGAGTGCAGCCGGGCC